GATGACCGTAATCGATGTGAACTTCACCGATCTAGAATATTTTTTTTAATTTATTAATATTAATTTTTTTAATAATTAATTATTTATTAATATTAAATATTTATTTATTAATAATTATTTAAAATATTTTCTCTTTAAAAAACTTAAATAGAAAATATTTTTAGATTAATTTATTATTATTTTTTTTTCTTATTGTTTCGTACCGTTTTCTATATTTCGTACTGGTTATACAAGGTATTTTACCAACTACTTGTTGATCCAGTCAAAACTTATCTAAACTTTCCTCATATCTAATTTTGTTTAAAAAAAATAGATATAAAAGAAAATACACTTTCAAGAACTCTCGTTATTTTCACGTGTTAGAATCTATAATATGACATTTACATAAACATAAATCAGACTTAATTACAAAAGTAATTATTTTCTAAAATACCAATCAAAAATTATTTCATAATTGTAAAAAAATTAAAATCCAAAAGGTGAGTGACTTAAAAATTTGAAAGTAAATTTAAGAAAAATTCGATTTTTTTTTTTTTTTGGATTTGTTAATATTTATATTATTATTGTAACAATTATAAGTCAGACAATAAGTTGTCTGCGCTGAGGTAAACCTGTTCTACTTCCATGATTACAAACAAGGTCAAAAGCGTGTCGAGTAACATATAACATATATGTATTATATTTTTGTAATCTCTGGAGCAATGCTCTCGTAACCTTTATAATAAGATCAAGAGATTAAGGAATAATCGACGAGCTTTTTTAAAAAAAATATATATATACAAAGTAAACATTTTTTTTTCGCAATATTGGGACGAAGGTCAAGATTGACCATATTGATGTGTGTCAATAAATGAGAATCATTAATAAATTAACTATCACTTTTGATGACCCATATATTTTAACTGTTTTATCAAACTTCTCATATTATTACATTCAATTTCTGCAAAAAGAAATTTCATCTTATTTGTACAATTGATTTATTATTTGGAAATTTTTAATTTTAACGAAATTTCTATTTAAAAAAAAAAAATCTTAATCAGCGATGTTTCATTAAAACAGCAAAAGTTTTTTCTATTCTAGAAAAATATATCGCTGTTCCAGGGAAAAATTTTCTTTTTTTATTTCTTTTAAAGATTTTTCTTTTTTAAAACAAATTTTGGTCATTTTATTTTTGAGGCCAAACGTGTTGAGAAATAAAATGAGAAATAAGGAGGTCAGTAAAAAATGTTAATAAATCGTGGCAAAAAAATATATATATATACAATAAAAACGGACAAACTTGCAATGAAATAATAAATTTAAAAAACATGCGGAAATTAAGATAGAAAGACGAGCTCAGAAAATGACTTTTTTTTATTGTAAATCATATGTGAAATTTTAATATTAAAAATTCATTATAAATTTGCACAAATTAGTGATTGGCGATGTTTTTTTTCTGTTTTAGTTGATTAATATTTAAAAGATTGTTTTTTTTCATTTTCTCACTCCACCTATTATAATATTTGTTTGTTACATAATTAATTAATTATTAAATTTTTGGTTCAAAATAAATACTTTTAAATTTATTATCTATAAAAATAAAAAAAAAATTATAAAATAATTTCAAGTCTAACACTAGGATATAATTTATATATTTTTGTAATAGTATTTTTTTTCCTGTAAAACAGGATCATTCGTATCGAATGTCAATGAAAAAGAAGAATCTTTACACATAACCAGTTTACAAACATGAAATTTAAACACATGTAAAAGAAGATTTTTATAATTTTCAAGATCACTGATCTTGATCATTTGAAAGTCCTATCAAAGAATTTATTATCTTGTTTCGGGGGATGAAAAGCAATCAAGTTAAGTCTATTAAAATAAATGAAGATATCGTGAAATACGTTCCGTTATTCTTTTTGTTTTTTTTTTTAACTTTTTTGATTTACAAAACAAATTAAAATGTAAATTTTAATAATTACACGAAAAAAAGGAACAATAAACAAAAAATTCTAAAATAACAATGAAATAAAAATTTAATTAGATTATTATTAATTTCGTTCAAAGGAATTAAAGAAAAAAAAAAATATATATATATATATAAGACAAAGAAAAAATTCTCTAATGATAATTAATTGAAAACTATTTATATTCTAGAAAACAATTAACAACTATAGCAGAGTTTTGAGTCATTTTTATGTAGATCATAAATAACGGACAATGAGAAAATTTTTTTTGATGCAGGAATGTCGTTTAGTTAAAAAAAAATTCAAAAATATCTTTGGCTCTTATAATTATAGATTGATTGATAGAAATTATATTTTATATAGAATTTTCAAGTTTTCTAATTATTTTTTTTTTTTTTTGAAAAGTTTATTTTTCCCAAATTAGCGAATAAGGAAAAAATATTCTTTCACAATTTTTTGCTTAACTAATTTTATCTTTTTTTTTAGAAAAATAAAAATCTATACTTTTTCATATTTTCAATATAATTGCACTACATTCTAGATTTAATTGATCCTAGGTTCAGACGTACAAAAAAATTTTACACTCGTATTTTCAAGAAAATTGTCTCAATTTTCTGTAATTTGCTTACCCGCTTCCAATAATAATTATATCAGACATCAATGTCAACTTTTGCGTCAATAGAAACAAAATCGCGTTTTTTAAAAAGAATTTTTTTTTTATTTTCAGTTTTTTGTGCAATTTATTTTTATAAACAAAAATAGATATAAATTTTGCAAAAAAAATATTTTTCACTAATTTGAAAATTTATGAAAAAAATATGAAATAAAATTTGAAATAAATTTTTACAACCAATTATTAGGTAATTAATACCAAAAAAATGTTATTTGCAAAAAAAGAAATGAATGAATGTGACTTTTCAAAAATTAAAAATTCTCTCATTGAAAATTTTGATGAAAATTTACAAACTAAAGAATTTTCAAAGAAAAACATTCTCTTCGATGACTTTGTTTTTATTATTATAAAAAAAAAAACGGAAAAAAAGAAAATACAACTTTTTATTAATTAATTATTGAATTAATTTCAATTAACGATGTAAATTAGATCAACGAAATGGAATTTATTACGCATTTGTGGTTTATCTTGTTATTGCCATCGGTACGAAAATTGTTATGAAAAATTAAAATGAAAATTGGTAATTATTACTCTCGACGTAGAAACATATGATTATAGTATAAACATTAAACACCTGTTTTTATTTGGATATTTCTCGCTAATCTATAATAATAGTGTTTTTTCCCCATTTTTTTTTTTTTTATATCTCCTAATAAATTCATTCTCAATTCTTTATAATAAAAATATTGTCTTAAAATTTAAATTTTTCTGTATAGAATCAAAAAATTAATGAAAAAAATAAATCGAAATTTTTTTTTTTCGTTGAAAAAAAAAATAATTATTTTCTTTATGCTCATTTTGGTTTTAATAATTAATTTTTGATTTATTTCTACAAAAAAAAAAAAAGAAAAAATAAATAATATTAATATATAAACATCTTTATGTGCTCTCATATATTGAACTCATAATAAACATGTTATATTTATGACAATTATTATTTTTTAATTAATTCCAATATTCATAATAAGGTCAGAAAATGACGTGCAAAAATTGTTTGAGAGCTTTTCAAAAAAAAAAAAAAACAGTAGAAAATGTTTTATCAAAAAAGAAAAGATCATTTTTTTTTTTTTATTATAGTGACGTATTTTTTAAAATCAATGCAAAAATAAATATTGACTTCTACGTATATTGTAATATAAAATATTATGAATTATTTAAGATGACTAATCAAAGTCACAATATAATATATAATTTATAATTTTTTCCTTTTTTTATGAAAAAAAAAAAATTCCAGTTTCTTTATGCAAGAAGAAAATTAAAATTTTTTCCATTTTTTCAATTTTTGTTTATGGTAAATATGTTAATGTTATTAATTATTTAATTATTATTATTAATTATTAATATTAATTAATTTTTTAATTATTAATTTTTTTTGTATGGAACGGAAAGGGTTTTTTTTAAATTTAATTTGAAATTAAATAGCGGATTAAAAATAAACTATAAAATGTCATTAAATTAATTTTTTTAAATTTATTTCCTACATTACAAGGAGTAGGAAATAAATAATTCCTTTTTTTTTGCAAATAGTCACAGACTCAAAAGGCAATTTATAAAATTTTTATAATGATATAAAATTTCCATTCGTGGAAATTGTGAGAAAATAATTACAATTTAACTCTCATCCGCGAGATAGTCAATAATTTTCCCCTTTCCTATAATAATAAAATAATAGACACGTTATTGAGCCTTTCAATTGTGTCTCTAACCATCAGTTATAAAGTTGGTTTAAAAAAAAAAAAATGAATAATAATTTTCCTGTTTAAAAATAAAAAAAACCGATATTAAAACGGGATTTTGAAAATTTGTTTATTTTCCTTTTCTTATCGAAGACAGCAAAAATTTTTTGTTTTTTATTTAATTAATTAACCCACGTGTAAATAAATTTTTTTTATGAATTCTTGTTGGTTTAGCAAATTTTTCTTTTCATTCAGTTAAAATTTATTATTATTTTTATTATTATTATTATTATTATTATTATTTTTATTATTATTATTAATATTATTATTATTAATATTATTATTATTAATATTATTATTTTTATTATTATTGTTAATATTATTATTATTAATTATTTTATTTCTTTATATTTTTATTTATAATTTTATTAATTTTTAGGAGCTTTTTAAATTAGGAATATAAATAAATGTTCTTTAATAAAAATAGAAGAAAATCTTAAAAGAAGAAAGAAGAAAAGTAAAACACTTTTTCTCCGCTTTTTTTTTCTAGCAAAACTTTTTCATTTCACGCACTCTTCTGAAAGTGAAGATAGAAATCCAGATTTCATCACTTTATAAAAATGAAAGAAAATTTTTATCTTCAAAAAGAAAAAATATAAAAAATTGACAAAATTTTGAAATGACAAAAAAAACTGATTTTATTCTCCAAAAAAAAAAAAAGGAAAAAGAAGAAAAAAAAAGAAATCTGAAAGAAGAAATAAACATATAATATATCCAATTCTCGTGCTTCTCACGAGAGTGTTTGAGAGTAACTGCGATATATAGTAAAGAAACTACATGAGTCCCAGGATACAAGAATCTGATTGGCTAGAGGTCCACGTGCGTTTTCCACTTCCAATTTGAATCATGCAGGTGAGCAAGGAACAAGGCCCGTTAGGGTGGGGAGGGTTGGAATACCAACTTCCCTGTGATATTTTTTAGAAGACACCGAAATCGTATTGACCACTTTTCCACTGTATCGCATTCAACGCGGATCTACCGCCGGCCGGTTTTGCCAATTATATAAATAAATAAATAAATAATATAAACAAGAAGAGAGACAATTTACATCACAATTTTTGTCTGCTTCAATACTTTTCTTTTCCAAAAAAAAATTCAAAATTATTTTTAATTTTTTCAAATTTCATTTTTCTTTTATGTTTTTTGAAATTTTGCCAAAAAAATTATTATTTTCCCTAAATTCAATTTTCATCTAAAAAAAATTTCCTTTAAAACAATTTTTAAACAATTAGGAACTTTTTCAAATTTTTCAAAATTGTGTAAAGGGAAATTCTCACCAAAAAAAAAAAAAATAATGGCACATTTAAGTGATTGAATTACTAGTGGAATTTTATCAAAACTTTGTCATATACACACTATCATAATATTCTTATCGTCAAGTGTTTGAAAAAAAAGTGATATTAAATATTGGATTCTCGTAAAGTGTGAATCGATTTAGTTAAATTTTTGGACTGTATCTTGTTGCGTGTGAAAATTTAAGAAAAAAAAAAAAAATTCCTCTAAAAGGAATAAATTGGCAAAAAAAAAGGGGAAGATATATAGTGTCAGTGATTTTTGTTTTTCACTCGTAAAAATGAAGGACATTATTGCAATTTGGAACAGACTCACGACACGAAGATACACGGCTGTCAGTACTAATCCTGCTGGAGATGATGGAATCGAAGAGATAACAATGAGAGCAAAAGGATTACGGAGAAAATCGTCGGTGGTTGTCAATCAATTTTTCAATGCCGCTTTACCTGTCAATATTGACGGGAAACCACGTTGGAATAAAAGTAAGTGGAGAGAATTTTTTTTTTCCCATGTCAGACAATTGGGAATGTGAAATTTGTTGACAGTTAATTAAAAATTAATGAAAAATTAATTTTCAAATTTGATAAACAATTAATAGAAAATTAATAAACAATTAATGGAAAATTAATTTTCAAAATTGATAAACAATTAATAGAAAATTAATAAAAATTAATGGAAAATTAATTTTCAAAATTGCTAAACAATAAATAGAAAATTAATAAACAATTGATAAAAATTTAATTTTCAAATTTGATAAATAATTAATAAATAATTAATAGAAAATTAATTTTCAAAATTAATAAACAATTAATAGAAAATTAATAAACAATTAATGGAGAATTAATTTTCAAAATTGATAAATAATTAATAGAAAATTAATAAACAATTAATGGAAAATTAATTTTCAAAATTGCTAAACAATAAATAGAAAATTAATAAACAATTGATAAAAAATTAATTTTCAAATTTGATAAACAATTAATAAATAATTAATAGAAAATTAATTTTCAAAATTAATAAACAATTAATAGAAAATTAATTTTCAAATTTGATAAACAATTAATAAATAATTAATAGAAAATTAATTTTCAAAATTAATAAACAATTAATAGAAAATTAATAAACAATTAATGGAGAATTAATTTTCAAAATTGATAAATAATTAATAGAAAATTAATAAACAATTAATGGAAAATTAATTTTCAAAATTGCTAAACAATAAATAGAAAATTAATATACAATTGATAAAAAATTAATTTTCAAATTTGATAAACAATTAATAAATAATTAATAGAAAATTAATTTTCAAAATTAATAAACAATTAATAGAAAATTAATTTTCAAATTTGATAAACAATTAATAAATAATTAATAGAAAATTAATTTTCAAAATTAATAAACAGTTAATAGAAAATTAATTTTCAAATTTGATAAACAATTAATAAATAATTAATAGAAAATTAATTTTCAAAATTTGCTAAACAATTAAGAGAAAATTAATTTTCAAAATTGATAAATAATTAATAAAAATTTAATAGAAAATTAATTTTCAAAATTAATAAATAATTATTAAACAATTAATAGAACATTAATTTTCAAAAATTAATAAATAATTAATAGAAAATTAATTTTCAAAAATTAATAAATAATTAATAGAAAATTAATTTTCAAAAATTAATAAATAATTAATAGAAAATTAATTTTCAAAAATTAATAAATAATTAATAAATAATTAATAAAAAATTAATTTTCAAAATTTATACAAAAAATTGTTTATTAGTTTTCTATTAATTATTAATTTAAAAAAAAGGTTTTTTTTATCTAAATTATTTTCATTGATTGTGGATTTATTTCTTGTTATTTGTTACTTGCCTACAAGTTTTTATTTTATTAATTAAAATCGATTCCCGTTTGGAGATATTAAAAAATGCAAACGAGTTTTGCACTAAAAAAATTAAAAATCATTTTGTAGAAAAAAAAATTTTTTATTTAGAAATTCGATGAATGTTAAAAATTTTTTTTCTGCCTATTAAAAATGAATTATAAAAACAAAGAATTTTAATTGTTCCTGTTAATTGATTAATTAATTAAGTGGGGAAAAAATGAAATTTATTTTGCAAACTTTAGAGAGAAATTTTGTGATAAATATATATGAACTTTTTAATTCATTGGAGATGATGAACATTTTTTTTTTTTCACGCTCTGATGAATACATGAAGTAGAGTAGGGTAGTGATTGGTCAGACTTGTAAATTACGCACACACTGTGATCTTTTCCGTATTTCGTTTCTTAATATTCGTATAATTGTAAATTTTTTTTTACTTTTACCAAAAAATTTTCATTACAATATTAATTTTTTCTTTTCTTCTATTTTAAATTTCAACAAATAAAAATAAAAGAAACTAAATTATTTAAATAAAATTATTAATTAATTATTAATTATTAAAAATTATTATTTTTTATAATAAATAATAATAATAATTTTTATATTTGTTTTATTCGTACGCAAAAAAAAATGTTTTGTAGAATTTTTGCTGTTAACACCTTTTTTCTTGAAAAAAAATGTATATATATATATATATAATATATGTGAAAAATCGTAATTAATCGCGCGTGATGTAATATATTTTCATTTGTATGTCAACGTTGGTAATTAAAAGACTCATTAAATCATAATTTCATTTTGCATTTAATTTTATTTATTGTAAAGTGTTACTGTTTGCTTCGTTCACATAATTTAATTTATAAACTTGAACTTTTTGAATTACAATCTCAATAATAATTTTTTGAAGTAATTAATTAAATTAAAAATATATATATATTAATAAATATATAATAAAATAATTATTTTTATTAATTAATTAAATACCATAAATAAAATAATTATTTTACTAATTAATTAATAATAATTAAAAATATATGAATTATATAATAACTATCAAGAAAAAATGTATTATACAGCAAAAATATTCTTGTAAATTTCCAAAGGAAACATCTTTTTTTTTATGTTACGGATAAAAAACTCAATTTCAATTCATGTATTTAATTTTTCTTATCAAATTTCAAAATTGCAAAGAGCATTATCAAATTTGCATTTTAATTTATCAACGATTAGTATATAAAAGGGGAATTTAAAAAAAAAAAAAAAAAAAAAGCAATACTGCGACATATTTTGCGTGGAGACGAAAAAAGTAGTTTAAGTCAACAGACAGTGATTAATCCCTTTTTTTTATCATGAATCAATTGTCAACTAATTGAACTTAGTTGCAACTCGTTAATTAATTGTGAAATTGATTTTAAAAACCTGTTCTTATTTTTTCGCACGTGTGTTTATATATTATTAATATTATTATTATTATATATATATTTATTATTTTATATTTTCAAACAGAAAAAAATATTTTTTTAATCCAAATAGTAAATAAATAATAAATATATAAATATTTATATAATAAAAATAATTAATAAATAAAATAATAATTAATTAGTACAAAAATTGATAAATTTAATTATTTTACTCTCCTTTTTCCGTCATTTATAAAATAAAAAAAAAAATAAATAAAATTCTCGATAGAAACATTATTTTTTTTTTTTTTGTGAAAAATTTGATTTTTTTATAAATATATAATAAGGGGGGAAAAAGTAATTATATGAATTATAAGAAAATGATTTAGGTTCTAAAAATATCATAATCTAAATCAAATTCTTTGACTTTAAAACATAATAATTTATGTAAAGAGCTCCTGATTCATGAGCAATTCATTCAAATGATTTATATTACATTTATAAATAGCCTCAACATATTAACCGGTAACTTATATACTCTCTCAACGGTATTGAAGTTTCAACTTCCACCCTTATTTGAAACAGGAATAAAACTTTGAAATTCATTGTCGCGCATTGTCAATTGTATATGGCATATACATAATGTTAATTTTCTTTTATTTATCACCTGCCTCTTTCTAATTAATAACAAAACCGGACATATATACTTGATGCAAAAAATTATTGCAAATTATTTTACATATTTATTTTCTAACACAATATTATACAATCAATGTATTTTTATTTTTCAATTGCAAATTAAATTATTTGGTGAAATTAAAAAAAAAGAAAATTTCTTTTTAAATTATAAAAAAAAAATGTTAATTTTCAAATGGAAATAAAAAAAATAAATTAATATTATTGATAAAAAAAAATTAATGTAATGTTACTTTTCCAAATGTCAAGAGAATTTTTTTTTTTTTTTTTCTTTACAATTGAAAGGATTAAAATCCGCGATGGGATTAACAGCTAATACTTATTTGTTATCAATAATTGAGGTCATGTAAAAGAAGGTCAGACGTAAGAAATGCGTGATAATCAAACAAACGAGATAATCAGGCAAATGAGATAATTAAGAATTTTTTTTTTTTCTCTAATGTAAAAATTAATTCTCTCTCATGTTTTTGTTATCTTTAACAACAAATGGAAAATTAATTTCAATTAATTTCTAATAAATAAAAAAAGATTTGAAAAATAAGATATAATAGATTTTTTTTTTTTAAACAAAATAAAACAGAAAATTATATTTTACTCGGATGCAATAACTAAATAGAGAGACAAGAAAAGGAAATTAAAACGTGTTATGAATCTTAATCATTTTTACCTCCTACTAACCTGGTGGTCAAATTTTAATCAATTCATCATCTACTTCATTAAAACTTCCTGTATATCAATTGCATCAACATTAAAATAAAAAAAAAAAAATTAAAAAAATCGACATTTTAAAAGAATAAAAAAAAATGTAATAATCGATTAACTTGTATCTTTTAATATTAAATTCCAGATCATAAAAATTTTATTTGAATTCATAAAAAAAAAAGTTGGAATTAATTTCGATCCTTTTTATCGTTTTATTATAACGTGTCATCTTTTCGCAAGAATTCGATTAGAATCGAGGGGAATTTTACATTTATGGTTTTCCAAAAAAAAGGAGAAAAATTCGTAATTAAAAAGTTTATAAAAATTTAATAATTAATAATTTAAATTATTTAATTAAATTTAGTTACTTAAATATTGTGTGACAAATTTTATGATTCATGGGAAAAAAATATATATAGATGAGGGAAATACTCGATTAAAAAAAAAAAATTCTAAACAATATATAATCATATGTCAAATAGTTTTTCAGAGAATTATAACTCGGTATGCTTCTCTTGATGAATCAATATCCGTAGTAAAAATTTTTTTTTTTTAAATAATTGCACAATTCCATGTATTAAAGATGATATTATGCATCTACTAATTAATCATGATAATGAGCAATTATTATATATAGATACGCAATTCTTTAGTGATACAAACAGTTATTAAAGAATTGACAGTTTTATACAAATATACATTTATATTTGTATAAAAATTATTATAATATCCAATAATTATATTAAACCATAAGGTCTCTATAGTTTAAAAAAAAATATATTTTTTTCTTAAAATATAA